GCGTGTACCTGATGGGCTAAGGGGAAGCGGTTTATTCGCCAAAACGAGATCTAATGTTTAACCGAAGCCTGCCAGCTTTAGCCTGCATTTCATCAGCCGCCTCTAACGCCAGGCACGATCTTCTTGCGGGAAGGTGTGTGTGCTAGTCTGTCGAGACTTGGTGAAAAGCATTGTATTTTTGACGCATTTGACGTCGACGGCGGGCATGGCGGCAATAACATAGTTTGACGCTGCTGCAGCGCTAACATTGGTCTGCAGCGAAGGCGCGTTTTGGTGTCAAGCTAATGGACCATCATTAGGCACACCGGTGCAAACCTGCGGGTGAAGTTGACTGGCCGGCTATGAAGTCGGGATGTTGACACCGACACCAGAATCCCACACTACTAAGCTACAACCTCGACGATTATGCTGCTGTGGTGGTTCTGCTGTGTTAAAAAAGGAAATAAGCGCAAAGGATTTGTTGAGGCTCTGAGATTGCGCATGATGCAGGACGAGAGGTAATAAATCTCGGGCCGATCGGATGTGCTACAGGGGACTCCCTGCAATCAAACCAGTACTGCATGAGGTAATCCTGCCATCTCCGTGTGACACATATGGTTCGCCCACTCGGGTGGGTCTCGCTGAACATTGCCCCATGGCTATGGTTAGGTTTGCTTTTTGCGTGCTGATCTTGTGTACCCTTATTTGATAGGAAACCCTGAAGATGCCATTGATTCGCTTCAAATAATTAAGTCCTAAGCTTTTTGTTACTACAGTCTCGAACACGACGATGGCAACTGTCATACCACCCAATCCTCTCCCTCCGGATGAATCCATGGGAGGAACGTTGCTCACCCTTACATGCACCTTGACGGCCTTCACCATTTTTACTACGGCATTGAGGTTGTGGGCTCGAGGGAGGCGCCGTGCGCTGGGATGGGTTCGTCCTGCATATCTCTGAACCCCCATGCTCGTTGCTGATCTTGATAGGATGACTATGCCATCTCGGTATGCTGCGTCTTAGCCATAATTCGAACAAGCCTGCAGATCGTATCTGTCAAGCACGGAAACGGCCGCCATCGATGGTACCTTTCCCAGGCGAATTACGAATATGTCAATTTCTTGACATGGATGACGCAAATATTCTTATTCACAAACATCTGCTTGCTGAAATGTAGTATATGCCTCCTGATATTGCGCATCAAGAACGAGAAGATCCTGCGGCGATGTCTTTTCGCCATGATGGCCGGACTGGTGTTGACCAACATTGAGCCGATCATTGTGCTTCTTTCACAGTGCAATCCGATTCAGAAGTCGTGGAAATCGATGCCTGGTGGAAAATGTTGGCCTACTCAGGTCAGGATCTACTCCATCTACGTCCAAGTCGGTATGTCAAGGACTCATAGCACTACTATCATACAGTTGCTAATCTCATAATAGCATACTCGGTCGTCACCGATCTCATCTGCGCGCTTCTTCCTGTGGTCGTGCTGTGGAATGTGAAGATAACGTTGAGGACGAAAATTGGAGTGTGCGGCTTGATGTCGCTTGGTCTAATCGCGACCGCTGTCGCTATCGTTCGCGCCTCGTCTTTGGGGATCAAGACCGCCGATCTCTCATACGACTATGCCATCGCCGCCATATGGGCAAACACCGAGCTTCACCTGGGAATAATCGCAACGAATCTTGCTCTCAGTCGAATGATATGGGCTTCGATCAGGGGAGAGAAGACCTTGACATCAACGAATAACACTGCGCGCTACGGGACCGGCACGAACACGAGTAGGAACAAGAGCGGATATATGAAGAGTCATGATGATGGTCCATATGGGCGGGACGATCTAGAGGAGACAAGAATCAGCCTCGACAACAGGAGCCAGGATAGCAACATACCTCTAGAACCTGTCATCAAGAGGACGACGAGTATTCATATTAGCAACTATCCATCAAAGGCTTAGCCTATAATGAAAGCCATTGCCGCTACGAACAGCCAAATGTCATATTCGATTGCGCTCTTCGTTTATGTCTGACCACTTCCATGACAAGATGCCTCAGATACAAAAGTCTCCAAAGTAAGCAATGGCTGAGTTCATGCATAGTCGCAAGGCAACAACGTTTAACGTGTTCAAGAGCAAGTCGCCCACTCACAGATCCACTGTCCATGTAAGGAAGCGCTCTCGAGTGGGTTTGGTCACCACTTAGATGCGGTCTGCCAATAAGTGAATGCTACACTAGGGTGAGAATCACTGTGTCACTTCGCTCCTACCACCGGAATACTCGCTCTCAACATTGACCTGCAAGCGCCTCAGCTTCTACTTCGCTCCACGGTTGAGAGTTGCCCGTTGAATACGAGCTTGCTATAACCTGAACAAGTGCCACTTGAGCAACGTCTGCTCTGCGGTACATGCTTCCCTTTCTTGCTTCCATGAAAACGATGTGATGGATCGCGCATTAGCGCAATTCTAACCTTCTGCTTAAGAAAACAGCACACAACGAAGGAGCTCGTATTTCTTGAGTGCTCGGCCTTACTCCAACTGTGGTGTAGCCTTACCTAGGTAGCGTTCAAGATACACGAGCTCCTTCGCTTCATGCGCAGGTTGTCATGCTGTGCGATCCGGACCGAATGTGAAGTACAGCCGCGGTGGTCAGTTTTCTGCTGTCATTCCAAGAAAACTGAGTCAAGACTCGCGTGGGCGATCCTCCCGGTCGGGTTCAAATAGGCAGGGCCTCACAAGGCTAAGTCCACCGCTTTTCGCCAAGTTGCTAGTCTAGTGACGCTTGCTCAAGCTACGAACGCAGAAGGGGTTCTCCTAAAGTGCTCTGCTAAGCAGCGCCCGGGCGCCTGGCGCGTGGTCAGATACAACTCACCCAACAGCAATATGACAGATTCTCAGAACCTTAACAAATGCCAGTAGGTTGGTCTGGAAATCACATACCTCGGTCCGAAACACACAGCACCGCGCGAGTCAATGTCGTCACAGGGACGCCTGTACGCATACCAAGGAGCTCGTATTTGGTAATGCACCGGTTTTGTAGTCCACATTGGTGGATCCCTAAGCACGACGAAGGAACGGTGGCGTGAGCTGCGGGCGTATTCCACCGGCCCCGGGCCGATGCGTGGCGCAGGCTAATCAGCCACTAGTGCGCTAGCGCTCTTCACGCCGGAATCGCGTCTGGTGTGGCGTTTGTTTGTTATCAGATGTTCACATTGCGTGCTTCGACATTCCGCAATGCACAACGCTTTATTGTTGCAAACGTGATAGAAGAACCTGGATGTGCTCAGTAAGACTTTTTTGTCTAAACACTGCTCTGCTAGCTCTGCGAGATATATCCCAGAGAGTTCTCGGAGGCATCAACATCAATCTCTGCTGGAGACAATGCAGTCGTGGCTGTTGATGTGGATGAGCACTATGTTTTGTGGTTGTATGAGTTATTGATAAGTTTTGACATGTTTTGTCGGATGGAACTGCCTCTTGCCACTTGGGCAGGTGGGAAGCTCTTGCGACCGACTTCATCTTCTCACTCTCACCTCAAGAAACACTGCCCAGGTGGTTCATAGCTTCGCACCTCTCGACAGAATCTCCATCGTCTCTGCCCTCACATCCTGCACAACCTTCGCTGCGCTCTCAACATTGTTCACCAATCCTACACCAGTACCTGCCCAGATAGCTGCTCTTCCACGTAAATCCGTATCGTAGCCCTTATCCTCCGCACCCACTGCTTCCTTGTAGGTCGTTCGGAGACTCTCGAGGCTCACTCCACTAACAAAGTCTTTATGGCTCTGAATGGCCAAGCTGCGTCCATCATATGCTTCCGGCCAGATGCTCGGGCCCCTCAATTGATCGAAGAGCTTCGATCGCGCTGTCACCTGACCGCCATCTCGTGCCTGCAGCACAGCAGCTTGGTACTTAGGGTGAATGATCACCTCCTCCGCGGCCAGAAATCGCGTGCCCATGACCACGCCTTGAGCCCCAAGCGCAAGAGCAGCAGCAACGCCTCGTCCGTCAACAATACCACCAGACGCGACGAGCGGGATATGCGAGAACCCTTCGCGCGCAAGAGTGTCTGACACTTCAGGCAGCAACGAGATGATACCAGCGCCTTTCTCGAAGCCATGGCCACCAGCATCTGCGCCTTGGATGCACAGTACATCAGGCTTTGTCGTTCGCGCAATCTGCACTGCAGCAGCCACACTGCCGACTTGAATCCATATTTTTGTTTCTGGCGACGCTTTCCGCAACGCAGCCGCCCACTCCGTATACTGGTCCAACTCTTTTGCAGCGAAGAGCCACACAACGGCAGGCTTGAAATCGGCAACAACCGGCAGCGCTTCCTCGAGCTTAGCTATGAATGCCAGGAACCCAACGCCAACGGGAAATGTTCCAGGCGGCGAGTCGATGTGGCTCGATGCGATGGAATCAGATGCGATACGAAGCTCTTTTCGGAGACTGTCCATGTCCACAGCGCTGCCGATCAGGCCTAAACCGCCGGCAAGCGTGACGGCCGATGCCAGCGCGCCGCCCGCAAAGCCTGCCATAGGCGCGTTGACGATGAGCGGGGAGGACGTCCATGGGAGGGAGTCTCTGAGCGTCGACATGGTGGAATGTCAACAGCTAGGAGAACGAAAGGGAAAAGTCGCTCCGAGTTCTTGTCCTACGCTGACCTGCTTCCATGATGGTGCATTCGTCAGCAACGCAACAGGCCGCGACATACAACTACTTGCGGACACAGAAGACGAAAGAAGAAGAATGTAAGCGCCAATATCAATGTAAGCTCAAGCAACACGCCAATGATTCGCCGACATTTCTAGTGTGCATCTAGCAGCTCTAATCCAGGATACGCCACCTGTGCAATGGTCGCAAGTACCCCACTCCCCACATCTCCACCCAAACTCCCGCAGAATAAAAAGTGTTGCATTTCAATCCTACCCCGCCCTTAGCGCCAGCTCTTAGGTCTCACACTAATGTCGTTGCAAAAATCACTATATATTGTAGTTATCTTGCCAAATCAGCAAATCAAAAGGCTCGATGGTGTAGTTGGTTATCACGTTCGCCTCACACTTCCTGAGATACGCGAAAGGTCCCGAGTTCGAGCCTCGGTTGAGTCATCTTTTTAGTCCAGTCAAGTGCTCATTTGCCTTGAAATTGTCGACTCTCGCATTGTCGATGCACTAAGATTCCTTTTTTGTTGGCGTAAGAAACCGTTTTGAGATCTGCTGCTGTTTCCAAGGTTATTCCAGCCTCATCTGATCTCACGATATGAGCATAACATCTAGATCCGAGAGAACAGAAATCATGACCAGGAATCATCGTCAGAGAACATGGTTCTGCATTCAGCGCCTCAACATGTTTCAGTCAGGTGGTCAGTCATAGCTTGCTGCTCTTACTTCACGGCCCAAAAGAACAAGCAGTGAAGCTTTGAACGTGACCGGTTCCTCCATCTCCCTGGATGAACCATGTCCAGATAGGAACAGGAACCAGATCGATGACGGTCAACAGATATTGAATGCAGAGCTCCAGAGAGGAAAGCTGTAATAGAGAACCAAGTAGCGACACAAGTATCATAATCAAGCCCTCTGAGTTCATTCAGAAATCTCAGCGAACTCCAAGACAGACAATCGACAAAGTGTGATCAAAGCTCACCTTTATCTACCTTCTGCAGCCCTCTAGAAGCTGCATGTGTGTGTCTTCCTAGGAAGCTATAATACACTACCTTAATACCATAATCCGCAAAGGATAGACAGTAGTAAAACACACCTGCATGTTTAGCGGCAGTAGTAAATGCGAAGTCGGGAAAGAATGGGCTACCGCTATGCATGCTTCGTAGAATACATGGTAATGCGTGTTCATGTGCTCTATTTATATATATATAAAGTTAAGACATGACATGAAGCGGTGAAATTCAAAAGTTATAAGAAGTAACGATCGATGAAACAGTTGAGAGCTGAAAAAGCTGCAGATGTCTTTGTCGCATGGCATCTCTCTCGCGCAAGCAAGCTTGCAAAGTCTTGCTACTAGCGATATTATAATGTAAAATTAAGTGAGGTCACGACATTGAATAAGATATCGCATAAGACAATTCGGGGTTTGACTCGCGATGTAGCTATAAATGACAACACGTCTACTTCCTCGCCGACCCTCACCTCGCAACCGGCAACCCCGGCACACTCCTCTTCTTGACAAGTTTCCGCTTCCGCTTCTTCTCCTCGGCACTAGCTTCTAACGATCTCTCGCTGTCACTCTTGATACCGCTGGCCTCGCCATGGCCTTCGCCATCTACCAGCCCACTAATGGCCTTCGCAACGCCTAGACTGATGCCCTTGTTCCCAAACCTGCCGGATCCAAGCTTCGACGCGTTGCTGCGTGTACTGTCGATGCTTGCCCTGCTGGGGCTGCGGTTGTGGAAACCGGATGTGGGCGTCTTTGGCGTGGCAGGCCGCGATTGCTCGGTTCCGGCGACTTCGTCGCTCGACCACCAGCCCTCAGGGCGTGAGGTGGATGATTGGATTGTGAGTTGCGATGCATCTAGCGACGGAGCTGGGGACTCGGCTGTGTTTGTAGGCGACCTTAATGTGATCTTTGGGCGCGTGGTGGGACTTTGTGAGGACTGGCGTCGGTGGTCCGTAGGCGAAGGCGTGCTGGGTTTTGGCTGTGGTAATCGCGACGTTCGTGGCGATTGTGGACGTGGGCTCGAGTTCTCCAGCTGCGCACTGTCGTACGGGAGCCGCCTTGTATTCTGCGACACTTTCTTGGCTCGTAGAGCTGCTGGCGCTGAAGAGCTTTCATCGCCTGCCTCATCGTCGTCCGGGCTAGCAGCACCATCCATCCCAGGTAGAAGCCCACGATAGCGTGCTGGTGACCGCCAGCGATTGGGCTTGTGGCCACCATCCGAACCTGCCCACTCATCGAGGGCATCATAGACGTGCGGGAAGACCAGCTCGTTCACCGATTGGGCCCAGAGGAAATCAAGATGCTCGTAATGGGGGATCTCTTTCGCAATCGTATGGCGAGGTAGTTCTTTGAGCATTACTTTGATGTCGACGAGACTGTCCGAGCCGCCATAGACGAGCACAATGGGCGTTTTGATGTTCTTGGTGGGGAATTTGGCAACCTTGTAGTACTTTGATCGGTTGGAGGTGATTGGATTGGGGGCCTCATCGTCGTACATCTGGAAGGTGCCGTTGCGAATGATCTGGAACCAGTGTACAACACTCTTGGTAGAGGTGTATGAGTAGAGATGCGGGTATGCGGCAAGTTTTTGATGTGGTACGATGTTCACCGCGGTCCAGCCGAAGAGAAAGCGGAGTGATGCGTCGATAAGACGAACGAATATTGGCGGGTACAGGATGGATTGCCACATAGTGGCAGATGCAAGTATGGCTTTTCGTCCAAAGGCAAGATACAGAATGTCGGGGGATGCCTTGACAAAGGAGTCGACGGTACCAGATGCCACACCCTTTGGCGACATTGCCGGCGCTAGCGCAATGAAGACATCCACCTTGTCATTCAATGTAGGGTGTATCGACAAGGTCGCAAAGGCTTGCGCAGTGCCTTGCGAGAAGCCAATGTACGATAGCGACGGCTGGTGCGTCGTCTCGAGGATGTACGCGATCGAGTCGGGAATGTCATGAAAGGCGAACTGGTCCATGCTGAAGTTCCAAAAGGCGCTCGACGTCGGCGCAGTGTGGACGCTCTTCTTGGAATATTTGTTGCCTCGGTTGTTGCCGAGCCAGACATCATAGCCTCTCTCGACCAGCTGGAATGGCAAGCATCGCTCGCGCTCCGTCAGACACACCCAGACTTCGCTGTTCATCATCAGTCCATGATGCATGTATACCACCTTCTTCTTCACGCCGCCGTCCCTGCCACTGTTCACTCGTATTCCTTCTTCCCCCGGTTTCCATCCCAAGCGATGTACGCCCAACAGGTATCCATCGCCTGTTTGAACTATGTGCTCCTCGCAGTAATATCCATACAGCTCGCAGAGCTCGGTGAAGTCGCTTGCATTCGCAATGGCACTCCACACGCCTTTCTTGTTCTCACGTGACCGCTTTGCTGATGGAGACGAGAGCTGATTCCATATGCGGCGCGTGAGCCGATAGCAGAGGTTTATGATGGGTGTAGGAAGTGCGAGGGTGATGACGGCGATGAAGGACTCGAGGCCGATGAGGACGATTGACAAGAGGAGGGCAATATATTCGCGGACATGCAAGCGCGAAAGGAAGGGGATATGGAGCGCCATAGTGGTGTTGGGGGTGGATGAATGCCCGTGATCGACAGCGGACGGAGTGGATGAACGCTGTGAGCGATGGGCCGAGGCAATCAATACTATAAGAGTGAAGCTATACAGCTATCCATATTCCAATGAGAAGGACGAATTGGCGATGTTGAAGCCCAGACTCCCCGCGACGACGGGATCGCAGACCATTTTGTCGAGAATGAATCATGGAGCTATGACGTCTCCCTGGCATGTGACAGCGCTCAACGTTCCTGCATGTGCAGCCGTCGGAGCTTCATGCGCCATTCCGCCGACGACTTTTGCTGCACCACCCACCCGATGCATGCGCCCACCAAGTCGACACAGTCATAATGCCGCAGTCATGTAAAGACATTCGTGAGTCTCTTGTCACATGACTATCGCACAGTCAGTCTAATCACGTGCAGGCGCCGCCCTGGCCTTTTGCCTCCAGAACAGCGACTGCATCATGGTCGAGCGCAACACACCCGGCGAGTGCCTCCGCCCGCCGCTCAAATACACGCTCCCCACACAGTGCCAGCAACTCCAAAAGGGCTATGCAGAGTGCAAGAAAGGCATGATAGACATGCGCAAGCGATTCCGCGGTAACAGGCCGATCGCCGTGTCGGGCCAATTGGAGACGGGCGCATTCGGCCAGGGAAGGGCGGAGGCGGACGAGAAGGCAGGCACGATCGAAGAGAAGGGCTACATGCTATATGCCGGCCGGCCGCACAGGGACGTGCCGGAGACCAAAGGCGATGAGGATCCAGAGAACAAGGGCCCAGAGCGGTGACGGGTGCTCCTCAGGCATTATGAGCTGGAATGCACACAAACGATATTAACAGGACCAAAATATAACATCTGCACTTCAAGCGGCATCCATCGGCGTTCCTGGCCATCTCATCCCACTCGACACGGCTTGCTGTGTTCTGCACTACGCAACCAATGTACAACATCACATCTTGCTTTCCCGGTCCGTGGACCCCAGCACAAGCTTTCTCGTGTGTGAATCCACTTTATCAGCAGCATTTATAAAAGTTGTGTCTGAAAGGCACTGTGGGCTTGAGCGGTTCATCTCGCCACCAGACACCTCGCAGCCCTCACTTCCCAATACTCAGACATTTTAACACTATAATCACCATGCTCTGCGGTGTCCTCCTCGCAGCTTTCTTCGCTACAGCTTCCCTTGCTCATCCTAAAGCGACAGACCTTGTGGACAGCTGGTGCCTTGCTTCCGGAGGTGCATACCTAACTCTGACGACTACCACGTTGATCAAATAAATGAGCTAGAGTCCCGCTAACTAGCCAACAGTGGATTGCATAGACACTCCGGATGACTGTTGTAGTGGGAGCTGCTATATGGACAAGCGGGCTGGGACGTATCAATGCTATCCGTGGTAGCTTAGTGGCGGGACTGTGGTAGTGTTGGTGTATGGAGGATCGCTCAGTTATATGTATTAGGTATAATCATGAACGGGAGAGTAATGTCGACATGTGCATTCGTAAGGAGCAATGGACATGGTCATTGGCGAGGACGGTGCGAACAATACAAAGTCTAATCCATAGCTTTGCGTGGCTCACAACATTTAGTCTAGTGCAATCTTCACTTTAAATCTCCAGCTTGCTTGCTTTTCGTGCGATGAGTGGGAAGCTACGCCCTTGGTCCGTGCGGGCTTCCGCATGAGGGCGGTGCCGAACAACCACGCCTCATCCTTTACGGTCTGTACCTCACACCGGCATTGCACATTGGCTCTATTTATACAGAATGAAGCCATCATCTTTCGACAGCCACCTTCATTTCTGTTCAATCCGCTTTTCCTAAGATGGCCGCAAATCTGGATACTCGTCGCGTACGGAGCTGCGCACCCTGTG